CCAACCACATTAGGAAATCCTGAAGGGGATTCTAATTATTAGTTTATTTCCAGAGGTCACAGCAAGATGTTATTAACTGATCATCATTTTTCAGATTAGCCTTACTGAAACGAATTCAATACCACTAACCTGCAATCCTGTGAAACTCCTCTTTAATGGCTCTGAGGGGTTTGTGCCCAGGAAACACAACAAAAAATAACAGAAAGCGCTTGAGGGTGAGGCACACTTTCCGAACTATTCTACATACAGTGGCCTTACTAATGTGCTCTGCATCCCCGATGTTATAAAGAAAACTGCAGTTTGCAACAAATCGTAACGCAACACAAAGCATCTGCTCGGATGTAAGAGCACGGCCACGATGGGTGATGTGTCTGATGTATGGGTGGATAAGATTATTGATATATGTTATGGACTCTCTAGAAAAACGGTACCGCTCAAATAAAAATACATGGGGATATGACAAAAAAATCAACTCGTGGCCTCAATATCCTCTCCCGACGTAAATGCAATTCCCTGAAAATTAATACAGCGTCCTCATCTACAGGATCCTCTATGAATGGACACGCCATTTTGGTCTCTGCGTGACGGAAACGTGTGCAATCTATGAATGTACTGAAAGATTAAATGAGGTATTAAACACCTTTCACTTTAAAAAGGGGCGGAGACCCGGAGGAAACTCTGAGTTTCCCGAACAAAACCTGCTCCCAACCAGGTTAGGTTCACAGAGTAAGTTGCCATAGTAACTGACTCTGAGTTTAGATTACCTCTCTTTGTGAAACGGGTTTAACTATAAAAGCCAGATTTGTGGAGTACATGACTAATAGTTGTCCTGCGGACAGATTGTCCCACCTGAGCTGTGGATCTCTGCAGCTCCTCCAGAGTTACCATGGGCCTCTTGGTTGCTTCTCTGATTAATGCTCTCCTTGCCCGGCCCATCAGTTTAGGTGGACGGCCATGTCTTGGTAGGTTTGCAGTTGTGCCATACGCTTTCTATTTTTGGATGATGGATTGAACAGTGCGCCGTGAGATGTTCAAAGCTTGGGATATGTTTTTATAACCTAACCCTGCTTTTTAACCTCTCTACAACTTTATCCCTGATCTGTCTGGTGTGTTCCTTAGTCTTCATGATGCTGTTTGTTCACTAATGTTCTCTAACAAACCTCTGATGCCTTCACAGAACAGCTGTATTTATACTGAGATTGAATTAGACAGGTGGACTCTATTTACTAATTAGGTGACTTCTGAAGGCAGTTAGTTGCACTGGATTTTATTTAGGGATATAAATACATATGCACACCACACTTCAGATTTTTATCTGTAAAAAAAAAAAAACCTGGAACACTATGTATCCTTTTCCATCCACTTCACAATATTTTGTGTTGGTCTATCCCATAAAATCCCATTTAAGTTTGTGGTTGTAATGTGACAAAATGTGGAAAAATTCAAGGGGTGTGAATACTATTGCAAGGCGCTGTAAGTAGAGTGTATCCAACCTGTAGTAAAACACAGCAAATACAAGCTGCACACACTTCAAAATGAACTGTGTGCTCAGCAGGACTGATGGAACAGACATTCTCCTGTTTCTATTGCCTGTTGCACCTGTTTAAATTTGGTGAAGTGCAAATGTTGTACTTTACAACATAGGTTACAAGAATGTCTGTGTACACTGTCAATTATGGTTCTTAAAAAGAAAAAACATTGGAACTGGCCAAATCTGGAATGAGCAAGTTAGACACACACACAAAAAAGAATTAGCCAAGAAAATTGCTCAGTACTGCTGGGTAGCAGTATGTAAAGTAGGACTTTGTTTTGAAGCTCATCATAACCAGTTTGCTTAACTGTCTGTTAAGCTTTGTGGTAGGTTGACTCTCAGCGGCCAGGCATGTAGGAGACAGACTCGAACAAGATCTCAGGTTTTCTCAAATCAGTCCTTTATTTTGAACAAGTGCCAGCAAAGCACACATGCCAAACAAAATCACTAACAAACTAAATAGCTTAACTTCACATAACTGAAGAAAACTAAACTAAACTCAACCCAAAATAACAACGCAACTTACAGGCACGTGCACACCACTACACTTAGACTGCCATGCTACTAGCTGCTCCACCTCAGCTGATTAAGTAGCTCCTGGTACCAATCAACCCTATGACATCCTTAATGACATCAGAGAGCATACAAAATGAGGAAGTGATGAACCTAATAAATACAAAAATTTAACACACAGGTTAAGGCATTAGAAAACATACATGACTTAGCCTAGGGACAAGTGGAGTGTTCTCATCCACTTTGTCACAAGCTTTATTATCAACTCAGTGGGCAGAAGACAGAACTCAACTGTCTGACACAAAAGCTGAGTAAAAATATAGTGCCCTTTTCTAAATGAACTGAATCGTTTATAAATCAAAAATCATTCCAAAATCAAATTATGACACCAAGAATCAGAATTGAATCGCAAGTTTGCCAGAGACTCCCACCTCTAAGAATCGCAAAAAAAAAAAACAAACAAACAAATGACACGGATTTCCTATTTTAGGCAACACAAGACATTTTCACCAATTTGCGGAGCCACCGAAACAATAATGTATCCTCCATTGTTTTTAGCCACGATCAGCACAACAGACAGAAGGCTGTATGGAGAACCATATATATACATACACACACACACACACACACACACTAAATAGGATACGTCTGTATGCATGGTGTGTGTACCGTCTTACTGTCATCATCTCTGGAACCTGTGCACCCACGGCCCTAGCTCTACTTGTATCTCAGTGACACAAAAGGCCAATAATATGACTAATCATTAAACCTTCAGCTGAACCCTGGCCGGCTTTGTGAAATAAACCCCACAGGCTGTGAGGACAAGAGGTAGAAAAATTGGATGCATCAGAATTTGTTTTATGAGTACCAAAGATAAAGAGTTACTGATAAGTACAAGCATCATTACTGAATATTGTACCATCATCAGTCTTGATCGGTGTTGTCAATGAAAAACAAAAATGCAGACAGGTGCAATGAATACTGAAATGTAAAATGAACACTGTGTTAGTCTTTTGTTACAACTATTAGCACACCAGAAAATATTACAAAAGAATGTTTTGTTGAAGCTTGTGTGTAATCATTAGCCAGCACAAAACATGGTTCCTCGCAGCCTTAACATCTTTAGCTTCTCCATGAACTAACAAGAAACCACCTTATTATTTGGATGCTAAAAACCTCAGTGATTTATAGCATTTCTTGCAGAAATATGTACAAGTATGATATGATTGTATGAACAGCAAGAAAAATCTCTGACAGCTGACAAATGTCTGTAGTCTTATGATATCTCACCCAGGCCTGTTTTGGATAGTACTACTGGCGCTTGTGGTGATACAGCAGCCTGATACACTGGTTTATTTGCAGCTCTGATGTTAACCTTAAAACAGCCCATGGCTGCTCATTTACGCACACAGATAGGAACTGATAGGATAGCTGGAAATTACCAGCCATTTAATGTTTAATCTTGGCTACCTCTAGATTAGCTTTGCACCCCTCATAACTCCAAATAGTCTAATTATTTCAGAACAATAAAACCAGAGCCTCTTCCTAAAAGTGGGAAATTGACAAACCCCATATTTTAACTGGCATAATTGCAGACATAGTAACTTCTCCAGCCTTACAACAATTCTCTCTAACATCACAGGAACAAGGCATTAACAGACATGGCGTCCCACTGAGTAGTGCAAACATCACTCCCTTTCAAGTAGCTCCAAGGTCGGTAAATCCAACCAGTAGTCGCTGCATCTTCTCCCACACAACCACATAGTCCCAAAGTAGTGAAATTAATTCCAACTGGTAGCGTAGCACCCACAAGAAAATCATGGATCATTAATCTGCTCATTCACCAGCAACACATCAATAAGATCTATTGAAAATACACACAACAAACAAGGCAATACAGTATAACATTTTGCCAGTATGGTGGGGGCGCCGGTGGATGTCAGGCAAGCTCACCTGAACGCGCAGCTGCCTGGAGAAATAACCATTCAAGGAAACCTTGAACTATCAGGTAAGAATCTTTTGTTAGAAAAAGCAGGGGAGAATTTGTGAGACCTGTATAGACAGAATAGACTAGAACATACATACACCTTATTTTTTGAGCTTCAGATAAGGTCTAAGATGATTAAAAAAAAAAAAAAGATTGTAGACGAGTCAGAAAACAAGGAAACGCATGCCATGGGCTCTTTGAATTGATTTCCGAACCTGCTAGAGTACAGATAACATTTGCACAATTCTAAAATCAATGTTGCTGTGCAAACATTTTGTACACAGTTGGGTACTAAATATTTAACACGGTTCTACCTGTTTCATTACAACTTAAAATAATTCTATTAAACCACTCAATCTTTAAATTATCCTATAAAGTCCAGTTGTGCAGTGCAGCACCCTTGATGTATTCGCTATAAACATTAAGCCCAAGAGATAAATACTGGCCCGCTAGAGATCTAGCTTGTTGGTGAATTATACTGCTAAAAGGTCAGGCATCATCCCCTACATAAGACAGCAAACCCTTTAACGCTACTTGTAGGATGGTGGATCGTTTGTTTTTAAAATGACTGCCCATTTGGCCAACTATACCGGACACGCTCCACCAAGTCATTCATTTCAACTACCCATGTACTGCACTAGCTAAACACCGGCACACATTTGCTAACAGCATGTCCCAGCCGTTCTGTTACCAACATAACGTTGGCTGCATTACAGTCACAGTCACAGTCCAAAGAAACAGTAACCGAAAAAAGCACACGTGTTCACGCATATGTGCTTAATTCTCAACTGTGTGACCACGCGGTCATATTGCCCAGTAATTCTAACTTTCCCCGCTACCGCGTGCGCAACGTGAAACTAATCTCTGACACCCGGCAAACTCCGAAGCCACGATAGCGACCAAATGCAAACATCTTAGTGCTCGCCCTAAGACTATCGTTTGAACTTAGTGCCTAGCTAAGATGCTTACCTTCTTCTTCCTTATTGTGAGGTTAACTGGTGGCTTGCACAAGACTCACCTTACTAGTCCTCCATGCCATAATATTAAACCTGTGGTACGTCAGATTACGTCATTTGACTGTCCTTTTCCGTTCTCATTGACTCTACAACGGTGCCTTCAAGTGAAGTAGAAATTTGCATTTGCCGCCGGATATTTTCGTGCGTTACCATTTATGTAGCACGTTGCCCCGTGATTAGAATCGATCGGGTTAAAATACTTATATAGTCAATGCAATAAACGTTTTAAGTAGTGGTGGTTTTGTTTAGGATACACATCAAACGTACAAGTCATTAGGCTACTCTGTCATATAAAGTAGGTTTTGCCATGATTTAATACTGCTTCAAAGCACCGTGTTTTCTGCCTTGTCATTTAAAAAAGATTTCTAAAAGGCAGGTCAACACGTGGGTTGTCGATATTGTATTTAATTAGCAAAGACTTTCCACTGGGATGGAAATGGAACGGAAATCAAATTAAATAGAAACGACTCAAAACACAGCAGTTAAGTAACTGACTTAAAAAATATTAATTCGCTATATCGACAGAAAAGCTCCCGCTTCAACGTTTACCATGACGCCATTGTACGAATGCGCCAGGGGTAGAGAAAATTATCACAAGGGTCATTAGTTGCCATAGCAACAGCCGCTGATTGATTTTATAGACACGTCACTGTATCCCTAACCCACCCCGTATGACACATGCACACGTCTTTTACCTGTTCTTTTCTACGCTGAAGACCAGACTGAGTTCATTTTGGCTAAAGCCACATTCTCATCGAGTCTTTGTAGTACATCGGTGACAATGCTGACGCCATTCTCCAGTTCTCTCAGTGCGCATTCGTGGAAGCCAGCTGCATTGGTTACCACATCGATTTTCCCTCCTCTGCTGGCACCCCGTGTCTCACTAAATGAAGTCTGACACTAGTGTAACACCACAAGGGGGAAGAATGAGGCCGCAAAACAAGGTTTATGGGCTAATTTATGCCCTTAGCCTTGATATTGTCATGTTATCAGACAGACTCACACAACTCTGAAAAAATTGCAGGCACTTATATATTTAAGATTCTTATTCTTGATGCAGTACTACTTGGGAGGCGACTGGCCACCTGCATACTCATTTTGCATATTCTCACAAGAGCCCTGGTGATGGTGTCAATTTGGGATCACATGACCCGAGAGAAGACGATGATAAATTCTAAATACAGGAGAAGATGCTTGGAACAATCTGCCTGCCAACCACCTTCAAAAACTGTGCACAAATATACTGAGAACTGGTGTTATTTCAAAGTGAAAGGGTCCTTCACACAAATATTGAGTTCTGTTTTTTGATTATGCACCATGCCTGAATATAATTTGTACAGACAAATATTCAAGACATTTTTGGAAGCGTCCTGTCTTTACTTTAGTGGAGAATAGCGTTTGGTATTGTCATGGTGCCAGACTAATTCTGTATCCAACATCACAGTAATTGAAAAGTACTGAATCATTTTTACTGTAAAAACAATGTATTATCAATGAATAATAAATCAATACACCAATCAGCGTTAAAACAGATTTTTCAGACTTGCCAACTTTTCACACTGAAATCTACTGAATGCAGTAAATTAACCTGGGGCATGTGGGCTGGTGACTCCTGTATGCAGGACAATCCATCCTTTCTACTCAGCTCCTGTCCTTACATATAGTATGTAGCGAACACAAACCCATTCCTCTGACCACCTTTGACAAATATTATTTGTACTAAGCAACCATTAACATACAATATTCAGTGATTTCAAATATTGTTACATTTTCACCCAAGAGCACAACTGTGCCCATCAGTCCATGGTCAGGGGCACCACATTTTTAAATACATAAATGTGAAACAGAAAACGCAGATAAAGACAGTGAACTCCACTTTTCTGGTGTGTCTTAGTGCTCTCTAACCAGAGAACGGGTGTACAGGCTGAAACAAAGAAACAATATGTATTATTTTATTGTGACTGTCATCTGCTCCTCATGAAGTCAAGCATCCCAACGTTGCCGCTGAGTGTTCATGTTGCAGGTGTTAACTCCTAGTTTAGTTGTCTGATGATAGAGTTAATGTCTGTACAACGGAATCCAGGGTTTCCCAGGTCCTTCAGGAGCCCAGCCTTATCCCTGGCAGCGTGACGAGCCACTGACAGCCTGAAAGGCAACAGGAAGTTGTTGGCGGCGCGGAAGCCCTTACCGACTGAGTAGATTTCATGGATCAGGTCCTCCAAACAGATGATGCCATGTTTACCTGAGGAATAAGAGCATGGGGGTAAGTGAAGGATGGCATGGAAAGATTTTATGGATGACAGAATATACAGCCCACCTGCATTTACCAGACTAACGACTGTGTGACTGGTGGGCACAGAGGAAACACATTCAACACTGCTTACTTCAGATTTCAATGTGCTCACTTTGTACTGTCCAGGGGAAGACTGGTGACAGTATCTGTGCACTTGTCACACAGCTGGTTGCACATGAAGATTAGTTGTCTACCTTATGATGGTTGGAAAAAGCCAGTGTTGTGTGTTTTAACAACAATTTGCTTACTGGATATAAAACGCAGAACAATGTAATATACTGCAGTGTACACATGACTGATACAGGGTAGATGCTGACAGAGAGGGAGGGTGTATCAGGCACAGGACTCCATGGGAGATGCAAAAAAGATGAACTGAGAGGAAATGTACCATATGTTTCCAAATAAATTTTCATTTTAAATTATTGTATTATATTGTAGTTATGGTGTTTGTTGTTTACTCTTTATTGCTGTTGAAACACAGGAATTTCCCGTTTGTTGGATTAAGTCTTATCTTATGTTTTCATTCTGCCCATGTATTTTGACAAAGACTGTGACAGTTGGAAGTATATTACAGGTTTTCAGCTGCTTTTTGTAAAGTTTCTAATTGCAGACATGTCTCAGACACAATGCTGGGAGGGAGGGAGTGAAACAGAGTGGCTGTGAGGTAGTGGCATGGGGGCATGGGGGCTTCAAATGAAGGGAGGTATAATGAAAAGTCTGACTTTGTACAGTACCTTGAGCTGGTACTGCGCTCCCTAGATTCATCTTGTGGGAAACAAACTACTTCTGCCTTATCTGTTTTCAGCTTGAAGCTGTTTGCTTACTTCTAAGACATAACAAGGTGCCTCATTATTTTAGATGAGCACACACACAATCGACATACAGTAAAAAAATTTTTTTTTAAATAAAATAAAAAAAAAAGTTCATAATTATTCAAATATGAACGGTGAATTATTTCAGCTACATGCACACTGTGCGATACAAAACTGATTTGAATTGTGTCGTAACTGTATTGTGACACACAAAAAAAGTCTGATTTAGATTTTCCAGTTTTACCCATCTGCTGCTCAATGAATGCGTTGTCTGTGAGAGGAACTCTCCTCCTGCCGACCCTGGTCTGTCCTCGCTTCAGAATGAGCTCACGAACAGACTTCAAGTTGGGAAATCTGTTGGCAAGATTACAAAGTTATTATAATATGCAACAGAACACATTTAATACAAGTTTTATTTACTGAAGCATAACAGAGTTACTCACCCCCAGGCCACATAAGGCTCAACCATCTTCATCATGCTTACAGAGGTCTTGTTAATTTTGACAAAGGTCCCACTGAAGATCTTTCTTAGCCTCAACATCTGAATGACCTTCATCACTTTAGGACTCACACCTTTAATCCTAACAGGAAAAGATCATCAGTGTTTATCCCCAGGAATGGCATCTCATTATGTACAGGTATGGGGATTTAATACAGATTTACACCACCACAACTGTTTTCATTTACTGTAACGCAGAAGTTCTGATGTTTTAGACCTGGAAACACAGAGGGTTCTTACAAAGACCTTATATTCTTCTTTCAGTTTAAGTTAAAAACTGAACATTAGCTGAAAAGCTGAATTTAATCTTGCTTCATCTTAACACATTTTCCTGAAGGGAAGTCTGCAAACTGAACATTAAGTGTCTAATCAAAGTGTGTGATGTGTACATTAAAATTCCCTAAACTGTTAACATACAGACTAAATTAACGGTGTCTTACATAAGGTAAAACTGTTGATATTACAAGGCAACCAGTACAAGATGATTCTGAATCAAACCTACCAAATGAACTCTCAATGTGCATGTTTTTAGTGAACAAAGTATCACACTGTACAGACTTAAGGTTTCACATACCAAACTTAACTAACTCAAAGCTTTAGTATCACCGTATTTTTCATTATTGAGGTGTATTCTTAAGCTTGCAGGGATTGTCTGTAAGAGTTGGCAAGTTATTTGTTGGGATTATTACTTGCTGTGTACACATCCCCACCTGAACAGTTTCTACATGCAGTATGGTTAAGTTAACAGGAGAAGATAGGGACTATTTTTACCATTAATATTTTTGCTGAGCACTAAACTCAAATGGTTGCAATCGTCAATCTAATGGTTTAAATAGGCATATGTATGTATGGGGGAATGTCCTTTCAAACCCTCTATTTTAGAAAAGTACTCACTCTCTGATGCGGACAACGAAGGCTAGCCTGTTCTTAGCAGGAGGCAGAGGGGGCGGCGGCCTGCGCTTGGCTCTCGAGATGCGAGTTTCATCACGATGTCTCTTGTGGCTGTTTTTCAGGAAATCTTCCAAACGTTTGAACTTTAATGGTTTGCCTTTTGATACCTGAATAATATAGAAATATCCATATAAACATACAGCACTGTGTAAAAACAGGTAGTATCACATACAGGCTTGTCGATTTAGATGATCCTAGGGATGCTTAAGAAAAATCCATTGGCTAAAATGTCAACTGATCTCTTTGATAAATTAATTTAGCTGTATACCATTATAATATTAGTATTAGAAATAACACACACAATAGTGTTGTAGTCAAGACTAGCTAAACAAGACAACTGGAGCGTATTGAGACCGAGACAAGACCAGACCAGCTCAGTTAAACTGAATTTGATAGTCTGACAGTACTTGTTCGCCTGCGTTTCAGTGACACTGATGACACTATATAGGAGTGACATTATTGAACCCCCCCCCCAAAAAAATACCACAGATTATGCAAAGGAATAGGTAACAGTTGAAACAGTGTTTTAGCTGAAAGTATGCTGAAGTTATTAAGATGTGAAAATTTTCCCATTCACTTGAACAGGGCAAAATTTGTGTAAAAAAGCGAACTATTATATAAGTATGAACGTTACAAACAACAAAAATACAAGCACCCGTGTCTTTAAAAGCTGATCATTTTGATATCTGAATGTCTTTTCTAGCTGAACATATGCTGAAGAAATTAAGTGCCTAAAAACAGACAAGAGGAACCCATAATAATAATAATAATAATAATAATAATAATAAGAGGATAACAGCTGTTTCAGCATCCACACAATAATAAAGAACAGGATAACAAGAGTGTGGATGCTGCTGCTAAAGCATCCACAGGAACACAGTGTGGATGCTTTTCATTATCCACACAAATATCGCCACTTACCTTTCTCTTGTCAAGCAGTGCAAGCTTGGCTTGTGTGGCTTTAATGGCCCGGTATGCTTTCCTCTTTTTCAGCAAATATTCAGGAACTAACTTGATCACCTTTTTTGATCTGACAAAACAATCATACACAAACAGAGAGAAAATCTGCTGACAAACGTAAAAAAAAACTGCCAGTGGCGACTATTAATCCCCTAACTGCCTTACAGTAATATTTAATGTTCTATCTTCTTGCACACGTAAAACACCCGTTTAAAAAGTTGTCATCTCTACCCAGACACAGTGAACCAGTTCAGCTTCGGCTTTCTGGTGTGTAACCTTGTTGCTAGTAGCTTAACTTTACCTACGCAGTGCCTGAAAGTATCATCTAAATACAACGCAGAACACACAAAGCACATAGCACAAACATAGAGCTACACAAATTCCATATTAATAGTTCCAAGTAATGAAAAATTACTTGACACCTAGGTTATGTTGTGGTTATCTCCCAAGTCAAAGTACGCTTAACCCCATGTGAAATTAGACACTCTAAAACCTGCCTTTTCTATCTTCAACGCTCTTAATATATTCCTTGACAGAATTAGTAAAAAACATATTTCCCTGAAAGCCTCGAAACAATACAGGTGGACTTATAACGACAACGGATTCGCTTAGATGTAGTTAGAACAAATACATACTCCTCGTCAGCCATGGTAAAATCATGGAACGAAAACTTGACCGTCGCTTGCAGATGACGCCACCAGTTCTTCTTCTTAGTTAGTAAAGCAGACTAGACGCTATCTTGGTGTGTTGCTGCCCTCAGCTGGTTGTTATTTGTTGCTCCTTTACAGTAAGTTCTTTCTATTTTACAAATAACAAAGTACATTTACTCAAGCGCCGTTTTGATGTATTTGTACCTTAATTGGGTATTTTAATTTTCTGCTACTTCATACTTTGACTTTATTACATTTTACAGGCAAATAATGTAATGTAATATATTTTAATATTGATCCTCATCTACAAAGCTACAAGCTACAAAGCAGTAATTCAAACTATAAGCATATACATAAATTAACATCAGCTTCACCTTTAACAGCTGCAACCTTAAAAGTGAACAATGCATCAATTATTATAATCCAATAATATTTATTAATGTAAAATACAATATATAAAATGTTAAATCCATTCATTTAAATTGTGCCATTCTGGATAATGAAAACCTTAACTTTTAAAGTACATTCTTATGCTAATACTTTTGTACTTTTAGTTCAATAACATTTTGAATGCAGGACTTCAACAGTAACAGTATTTTTACACTGTGGTATTTTTACACTACTCTTATTTCAGCAGCTTCTCAGTCTTTCTCCAATTATTCAGGCCAAGAAGGGTGCACAGAGTAAAAGCAATTTCTCCAAGTGTTCCAAGGTGTTTGTGCAGTCTCTTCCTTTAACGATAGGTTTTGCACTGAGGCTGTGCCTTACTGTCTAAGCTCTACCACACTCACATTTTTCCTCTGGGGATTTTCCAATCAGAGCCAGGCCATTTCTAAGCCCATGGTAGCCTAACCTCAGTCTGGCGATTACAACCAAGTTCTTTCACTTGCAGACAAAGCTACTTTGTTGTTCTTTTCACAGTTTTTGCATCCGAGAAACTGTAGTTTTGACTGATGGATGAGAGGTTAAAATGTCTCAAGAACCTCAAGAAAGACTGTTGCCAGCTTTAGCACTTTGAATATACATGGCCAGGATAGATGAGAATTTCCATCACATGAAAGCCTACTGTTTGTCTAAACAATTTTCTTATCAGTGACTGTAGTACAGCTACCATAAGTTGATATACATAGGTTACAGACATAAAGACAATATTCCACCCCTACTGTCCAAATGCTTACTGTCCCAGTAAGTACCTAAAAAGCCTCCAGTTAATCCAAAATGCTACAGCCAGAGTACTGACAGGAACTAGCAAGATAGATCATATTAGATTAGATTCAACTTTATTGTCATTACACATGTACAAGTACAAGGCAATGAAATATAGTTTACCATCTAACCAGAAGTGCAATAACAGCAGTGCAGAGTGTACAGTATCTGTAGTATGCATAGTCAGTACTAATTTACCGATAGATATGCACAATTGATATTTACAGTAAGTTATGTAAGGTAATGTACAACATACAACAGACTTTATGGATTTAAATTACAAGTAATGGATAAAATACATTAAGCTTATAAAACACTAGTGTAATGGGATGAAATGGAATGCAGAAAAGGAAGATAAGTTACATGAGTTAACAGTTCAATGGATGTAAGTAGTGCAAAGCTAAATATACAGTATCTGCATATGTACAGTGCACAAATGAATAACAGAGCAGTATTCTGTGAGTAGAGTATGTGCAAATTAACAGATCACTTCAGTAGTACAGGTAACAGAAGTCTATTGTATTAGCCCCGGGAGGACTGTGGGGAAGAAGCTGTTCCTGAGTCTACTGGTCTTGGTCCGGAGGCTCCTGAAGTGCCTCCTAGAGGGCAGGAGGTCAAACAGTTTGTTGACAGGGTGAGAGGAGCATACACCTCAGTGGAGGTGAGTGTGAGTGGCTGGTGGTGTGTGGAGGGTCTGGACCTGATAGCTGTCTTCTTGTTGTCAAAATCAGAATCAGAATCAGCTTTATTGGCCAGGTGTGTTGGGCACATGAAGAATTTGACTCTGGTAGAGCGGCTCTCAATGTGTAGGTACATATCAACAAGCAAGGGAATGTGTATTAGGAAAGGAGATAAAAAAAAAAAAAAGAGTAAAGTACTTATAAATAGAGACCTGTACATACAGTCAGGGAAAAAATTATTTGAATCCAGCTGATTTTGTAAGTTTGCCCACTAACAAAGAAATGATCAGTCTACAATTTCAATAGTAGGTTTATGTGAACAGTGAGAGACACAACAATAACAAAAAATCCAGAAAAATGCATTACATAAAAAGTTAGCTGAACTCTTTAGATTTTTCAGTAAAATTGACCATATCATTGAATATACAGTATCATAGAAGGAATAGTTACTGACAGTACTGTCTCTGTGTGCATTTGCTTCTTTGCTTGCAACATTTTGGTTCATCAGAAGGCCCACATGGAAAGACTGCGGCATGAGCTGGAGCTGAAGAAGAAGAAACTGGAGAAGTTAAAAGAGGAAGTCAATGAGATGGAGAATGACCTCACCAGGAGATGGCTGGAGAGATCCAACTCAGCTTCCCAAATTCCTTCTGTGAGCTGCATTGTCTGATTTTTAAAGACAGAAATGTGTCCATAGTGAATTCTCTTTAGATTTTTGTGTGATATTTGTCTTGACTTGATGGTGAAGGTTAAAATACAGACAGGAGTTGTGGAGAGAGAGAGGTGAGTGTGTAAAGCTGCAAAGGTCCATAGACTAACTTTGATTTTATGCTATTCTCTTTCCTTATTTGTCAGATTGAGGAAATGAAGCAGTTGCGATGCAAAAACAGGGTACTGCAGATCGACATTGACTGCCTCACCAAAGAAATTGATCTCCTTCAAACAAGAGGTAGGAGTCTGTCTCCCTATCTTTGATATACAGTATTTAAGCCTCAACTATTTAGGGATCTTAACCTGGCATTCAACTTATGTACATGTCTGTCTTATAAAATAATCAGTGTTGAATTACATTTTGCAGTAGCTTGCTGGTAGTAAACTACATTTATATTTATGCTGTGATTCAAGTAGTAAATTATTTTTTCCCTTTTTTGTGTAGTTAACTACAGAAACTACAAACTGTTTTGGGCCATAAAAGGAAAGGCATGATCTTTTTAAATTTGTCTATCACAAAAATATAACATTTAGGACTGTTTAGTTTGGGTCCCATGGGTACTCCAGGAAGCTGGATTATCATCTTACCTGAGAAAAATATTTGGATAGCCCCACCTGGACTTTAGTTTCTGGAAGGCAGGGGTCTGATAGACAATTGGAAAATCCCAAGTATCTTATAAGCACCATTGATTCCCTCATTTGCATCTTTGCCTTGTCTTAGTCCCACCCATGTAAGATTTGGGGAAAGCCTGTGAGAAGAAAGAACTTGAGGAAACTTATTATTGACATGAGGCATCCTTCATCTGAAGTGTCCAATCATCCAATCACAACTGATTTCTGATAAAGGGGTGTGTCAGTTCACAAAAAACTTCAGCAAAGGAGGGTCTCAAGTATCCTTGCTCACTTCTCCTCCAGCACTGTCCTTGGTCCTCAGAACGTCCTCCTTTCTCGAGGACGATCTTATGAGAGACATGTATTCAAAGCCAAAGATGACCTCCTTTGCACTTGCACATGCATAGTGGGGTTTCATAATCTGTGGTTTATGTATGACCTGAGAACAGGTAGGCATGTTTTGCATTTAGTTCAATTGAGTGGCATATTTTGCTGGTCTTTAAGGAATGTTCATTGAAATGAGATAAATAGGGATAAAGATAGAGTACTTAAAACTAGAGACCTGTATGTATTCAAAGCCAAAGCTGACATTCTTTGCACTTGCACATGCATAGTGGGGTTTCATAATCTGTGGTTTATGTATGACCTGTGAACAGGTAGGAATGTTTTGCTTTGCATTTAGTTCAATTGAGTGGCATATTTTGCTGGTCTTTAAGGAATGTTCATTGAAATGAGATAAATAGGGATAAAGATAGAGTACTTAAAACTAGAGACCTGTACGAGTCTGTATGATCTGTACAATGTATATATACACAAGTATTGCACTGAGGGTTATTGTCCAATCATACTGTCGTGGGTTAAGTGTTCATCAGTGTGATGGCCTGGGGGATGAAACTGTCCCTGTGCCTGGTTGTCTTGGTGCACAGCAACCTGTAAAGCTGTCCAAAGGGGAGGAGGTCAAACAGGTTGTGTCCGGGGTGTGAGGGGTCTGCATTGATCCTCTCCGCCCTTCATAGCCTATTAGATTGTACCATTTAGTTTATCCTTATTACTTTAATGATAACTGAATTAAAGTAATAAGGATAAACTAAATGGTACAATCTAATAGGCTATGAAGAAACTCAAAGCTATGTGCAAACAGTGACAGTAGTGCAAATAATAAGAAGATTGTCAGGTTGTTAGCATCATCAGGGGCATTGGTGATGAGATGCATAATAGCTTATGAAATGTATATAGACAGCAGTGCAAATGACCAAACATTTAGTTTATCCTTATTACTTTAATTCAGTTGTCATAATCTAGCCACAGGGGTTGCAAGCCAGTGACTTCTGTGCCATTCCCAAGCCTGGATC